CAGNGTTTGTACGACATCCTCTGGTGCCACCAAGACCACCGGGCTCTCCGCCCCCCTCCTCCCCCACTGTTTAACCCCTCCCCTCCCTCCCCTCAACCCCTCCCCCCACACCACACCACCTCGGGAAAGAAGCGCTTGGACACCTCTGGAACCATCCTGCAGGAGCAACGTCCGCCCAGGAGTCCGTACGTCTCAGTCAGTTAGTCGGTTAGTCACATGTTTAGTTACGGACGTGTTGTTCTTCTGAAGGGGAACATCCACTCATGCACTTCCACTTTCCGCTTTCCCTTCCCCAAAATGGGACTTTGGACTTGGCAGCTACTCGTTTCGCAACCTAGCCGCCCACGTCGCCGCCAAGACTACTATTCAAGTCATCACTGGTCAGCATTTGTGTTCTCCTGGACTATCCGTCTATTTTTGGTATCTGCTTCTTACTCGCCACCGGTTCGTCTTACCCCCACAATCCATCCGCCCTCACCTGTCGATCTCCGCCATGTGTATTTCCTCCACGTACGGGTACCTGGCCAGTTCCCGGAGCACACCCCCATCACCCCCTCCCACCACCAGAACCTTCTTGGCGGGACGCTGGTGGATGAGGGGAGAATGGAGGGGGGGGGTGAAAGCGGGTGACGGGGGTATTGTACGAATGCCAGCCACAACCGCTTCCAAACAGCTCCCTTCCGGGTATTGTAACGCCACTCCCGCTCACCTCGAGGCTGCACATGGGTATGTGGGCAATCATCTCCTGGTACGAAAACTCGTCCCGATCCGTACACTGAATGACGCCTACAGAAGCAGCAGCAGCAGGAAGCCGGCAAAAACCACTGTACGGCACTATGTACGTGGCCCAGAAGGAGCACAAGAAGGGTAAGGGAGGAAAGGCGGGAATTCGGGGGGAGCAGCTCTCCCCGAGCCCCCCTCCTCCATACACACCAGGTGGCCCCTAACCACCGCCACGCCATGCACCAGCTGGCACCAGTCCGAATAGAAACGCGCCCCTTTCCAGGCATGCCCGCCTCCCTCGCGCCGTCCTTTCCTTTGTCCCTCGCTTCCCACTCGTTTATATCGCCCTCGCATGCAGCCCCCCTCAGGCTCTATCAGACTCGGATACGGGGCAGCAGCACCACCACCACCACTTTCAGTCCGGTGCGCCTTCACCCCTCTCACCGTCCAGAAGAAGCACTGTGCCCATGGACTCGGACTCGAAGACACACACATCCTATCCGGCGTCAGGGAGGGGAAGTAACGGGGCAACAATGCGAATCAATCTTCATGCGCGGACTGTTGCACCGGGATGGGGGATGGGACAACGGTGAGGTAATCTCTTTCGTTTGGGAGAAGGAACCAAGCCTGATACTCCTTGCAGGGCTGGAATTGATATAAAGCAAAGCAAGAGGGACTGAGCGGTTGTCCCAGATTGATAGGTCTGCGAAACCGGTTGAAACGCAGGACGCGACGCGAGCGCGTTGAGTAAACAGCCACACAGCGCGACGAGACATGTGGATAGGAAATGATTTGTACTGCTGCTTACAAAGCACCTTGATTACCTGTGGCAAAGAGCGACCTGAGCGCGCCATCGACCCACCTGAAAGTCCGACTTCGCCCGGTACAGAATTTCCTTAATCTTCAATGTTAAACCCTGCCCAGGCCACATGGGCGACAACTCTGTGTACCAGCCGGCGTTGATCATCTGCAGCCAAGAGCAACGCCCGCGTAAGCTCCATCGGGGTCGGGCGGGGGTCGACGCGGGGGATGCGCTGCGGGCATGCTTGTAGACATATTGGAGGCATGCGACGCGCCAATCTAACCATCCGGCTTTGGATTGCTAGCAGCACAGAACGAGTCGTCGTGCAAGTTGTTTGGAACGGACGCCATACGCCGCCAGTCCGAACAAGCAAGGCCATTATCTGGGCCACAGTGCTTTGGCCTCAATATGTAGGATGATGCAAGCTTGCGCACCTCCTCCGCTGTCCCGGGGGTGGGCTTGGATGAATTCGACATGTTGACACGAACGCGCTGGGGATATAGTTGGGGCTTTGTTATATAAGGCTTGATTCTCTTCAATACCGGCCAGACCAGCGCGTGATGTTTGGGAGTCCTGTAGCATGGCACACCTCGTCATAGGAGGCGGTTAGCGATGCAACCACCTCATGACAACGTACTCACATCACTCCTGATCAGGTTCCTGCTTCAAACATGCGGAAGTGTTTTGGTGATGGAACTGCGGTAACATATCGCTCAGGGTTACAGGCGCCAATGCCAGCCGCCGAACGGTTGCCGCCGTTCCTCAGCCCCTGTCCCACCTGTTTGCACCAATAGGTGTGGGGCTAAACGCGCATGGTTGGAAGCAGATTACACCGGGTAGTCATGGCGAGCAGCACTGGTCAAGCCCTGCCCAGCTCTGAAAGTCCAGCCCTAAAATTTAAGGTGCGATGTGTGTCCGTTAACGTTGACTTTTTTGGCATTTTGGTCGGCACCTGCGGTGTGAAAATTCATTAACTCATTTGTGGCAATAACGGTGTCACGGAAACGGAGCTGTCATCAAACCATCCAGCTGTCAGAGGTTAACCAAGAGCCCAGCGGCCTAGCATTGTGATGTCTGATTACGTCGATGCCTACACAGCCGGCTTTCCCGAGCGACACACGCGGAAAATGGGAAGCGAGCATTCCTTGCCGTACCTTTTGCTTAGTCCAACATTGTTCCAAACCGCTGGCCGTCTCCCAGGCTCTGTCAAGGCCCTCTATGGCCCTTCCCTACGGCATTCGGCCCGTTATTCTGACTGCTGTGTGTGGCGGCCACTCCTTCCAGGCACCCCCCTAAACAGATCCCCAACCCGGCCACCTCATCCCCACCCAGACACGTCGGCGGTTGCTTCCTGCTGCATACCTTTCCCAACCACATACTGTTTCACCGAATGACGTTGCACGCCGTCCACTTAAATTGGGCAATCTCACCTCCTCCCCCCCCACCACCACCACCACCGCGTAAACTGCATGGTGGTCGACACATGGTGGGTCCGTGCCGCCGCCACTGCGGCAGCAATGCGGCTCCCGACACCTCCCCCCTCCTTTCCCCCACCCATCCCACCATGCCGACTGTACCGCTACCCGACCTTCCAGTGTTGCCATGCGGTCTCCCGCCTCGCCCCATGCGCGTCAGCCCCCCCTCCTCCTCTTCCCTCCCACACACACACACTCTTCCCTCTTTCCCGCATCCCATTCTCCCCTCCTACCGTCTCCCCCCCCCCCGCGGCAGGTTGTTGCCGTACAGGGTCGTGCCCGCTCCTCCCGTATGACGCTGCCGCACTTCACCGCCCACACGCCGATGTTCATGTCGGTTGGCACTCAGGGTGCGGGGAGGGGGGGGGAGGGGGGGGGAGG